GGGCTGTAAACTCTGCTGAGAAAGCTGCTGGCTCAGCCATGGGGTACCCCAGCTGATTCAGTCTCTCCTCCAGCAGCTTCTGCTGTGAGGTTTTCAAGGTACCCCAGAGAAAATACTCCGGGCAGCAAAACCAGTCTCTTAGAGGATCACTCACTGTGTGGTTTTGTCCTTATGGAAATAAAAGGAGTGGGGAGGGGCAAATGCCCCAGAAGGGTCTGTCTGCTCTGGTGGAGGCCAGAGAAAATGGCATGTGATGCTGCTGCAGTTCTGTATTGGTCCAAGTAACCAAGGGGTTTGCCAACCAAATTGAATAGTCCAGCACTGCCTCCCTCCAAATCACATTGAGTCTAATTAAGAATTCCAAACAAGAACGTCTGGATCAGAATACCAAAGCTCATTGATTTTTTTTTGTTTTATTTTATCTCAGAGAATGAGTTTTAAAAAATCATTTACCAGCTTTGTCACGGCTTGACACTGGCACAATGCTTCTTTTCAAATGCCTTAAAGGGTGAGAAATTAAAGGACATTTATTAATATTAGCAGTAATTTTTCAAAGTGTATTGCACGCATTATTATTAATATTATTCTAGAAATGCAGTGCCAGCAAATCATAGATACAGAGAGTTGGCAATAAATTAATTGAAGAACTAATAAAGAACTGGAAATTAGGAAAGATGATGAGATGGAAGAGATCAGCTGAGCAAAGAGAAGTCTGAGATTGGCACATCTTTCTTGCAGTAACATGGTAATGAATATTCTGAAGGCAGAGTGGGAATACTGATCCTCACATGCTTCTGACAACTTGCCATACTTGATCAAATTGTTGTAAAATTGCTAACGCTAGCAATTACTGGATGAAAAGACCTTTCTGCCAATATAAATGCATCTCTGGTGCAGAGCGCTGTCCCTTCTACAATGAGAGTTTCTAAATTGATACACCATTATAGAGTGAGCTGGGCTTTGGCAAAACTGGTGTCTCAAGCTCACCTGTGTCCTGCAGCAGAGGACAGGAATCCAGACACTGAGGCAGAAAACCCAGGGCCCATAAACTCTACGTGGTGCATCCAAGGGGAAACAACCCAAGCTCCCAGAGGGCTTGGTGGGCTCTGGACTGGCATTACTCTCAGAAATGAGACTTGGTACTATGATAAATAGTGACATAAAACCTTAGTTTCTGTTTGACAGTCAAGAAAAAACAAACCTAATACCATGCTCTCAGAAAACAACAACAGAGATTGAGAAAAAGTGCAGTGAGGAGTGGTCAGGGCTACAAGGCATGGAGCAGTCCCTATAGACAGAACAGCCAAGAGGGACTGGGTTTCTGCAGGGGAAGAGTTGTCTGCCAGGCATGATTCTAAAGGTCTGTAAAATCACAGGAGGTGCAGAAGGAAGGGGTAGCTGGTAGATGATGAGCTGAGGGTTGTGGGTGAAAAGCTGAGGGCTCTGAGTGGTGAGCTGAGGGCTAGGAGCCCCAGAGAAAACCATTGGGTATTCAGTTAAGAATCGTCACAGAGCCAACAGTTTGTCAGATACATAATGATTTTAAACTGACAGAGGGCAGGTTTAGATTAGATGTTAGGAAAAAAATGAGAGGGTGGCAAAGTAATAGAACAAGATGTCCAAGAAGTCCCCTCCCTGGAGGTGTTCAAGGCCAACTTGGATGGGCTTGGAGCTACCTGGTCTAGTCAAAGACATCCCTGCCAATGGCAGGCAGGTTGGAACTAGATGGTCTTTGAGGTCCCTTCCAACCTAAACCATTGTGTGACTATATGATTCTTTTATAATTAAACTGGGAAACTTTGCCACATCTGAAGCTATGGGTGCTAAAATTTACTTGAGCTTAGGTCAAGGCTGGACAGGTTTGCAGAAAATAAATCCATCAAGTGATACAGTAAAAAATTAACCACCTGTCTGGGCCAGAAATGTTAAGCTGGGAATGAGATTTATATTCTTTCCAGTGGGATGTTGCTAAAAACAGGAGAAAGCTGCTTCTTTAAATATCTGATTTTTATCTTGACAGTGTCTCTTGACATTTCCACAGCTTTAAAATTACTTTTCCCCTCTCAATCTTTACTTTTCCATGCATTATTTTTCTGTGGTAGTCCTCTTCTCTTAATTTGCTTTGTTTCTGTGAAGGATTTTGCATAATATTTTCCTTCAAACTGTTCCATTTTAGAATTTTCCCCTTTTTTCCAAATTTTCTAGTTGCTCTATGACTCTGTTGTGTCGTTTCTAAATCTTCTTTTACTTTACAGTGTCCCTTTTCTCATAGGCACTTTCCCTTGAACAGCTCTAAAACCCACCATATCCCTGTGTGTCTCTATACAGAAGTCTAAAATATCAATGAAACAAAGAGGGACAAAGCAAGCAAGCTTTAATAATAAGGCATATTTGCTTATAGGATATTTATTTTCAAAAATTCCATAGCAGGGCAAAGAGAAACCTTACCATTTCAGAAAAAAATACATGCTTATTTTTCTTCATATATTCTAGTTATAGGCTTTCCACGAAAAGAACAAACATTTCTTTTTGTGCTGTGTGCCCAGAAAAGCTGCTACGTGACCATTGTCTTGCCAGGATTTGATGCTGAGAAGATGCAGCCTGATAGGTTGGGGCAATGTGCTCCTGGTTTCACTGGGGCCATTGTGAGGGGCTTTAAGGGCAGGTCTCTGCAAATGCCAGTACACCCACACGAAATTATTTACTGATTTCCTGCTGTGAGATATGAATTAGGAGGAAGAGGGCAAAACAGGCTGAAAAACTTTAAAGTGTATAAAGAACAGCAGAGAGTCTTTCTACAGCTGTGTCTTGCCCATGAAGAGTGCAACCCATTTCTCACCACAGTATGGAATCTGGCTGAACACTTTCTGGAGCAAATGGGGTGCCTTTTTCTTTGGAAACAGTGGAGGCAAACTATTTAAACTGTGTTATACAGTGGGCTTTATTAATCCAGGAATTTTACTTCAGCTCTGGGAAGGTAATGTGTGCTGTGTGTTACATGCTTCTGTGACTTTAAAGGATGGAGGTTGAGTTTTCCTCAAGGTGCAGCTGGTTGGAAGCACAAGAAACTCTTGTGGTTTCTGGGGTTTGAGCAGATCAGCCAGGCAGAGTGTACCAGGGATGCAGGAGCTGGGCAGCAGTGGGCCATGAACAGAGCAACGCAGGACTGGAGGGCAATGGTCAGCAGTGACTGGTTCTGCTGCTGGGAATCCAGCTGGGAGGGGGATTATTTCTGCATAAGGGAGTTTTCTGCAGCTCTGATGCAGTGCTTACAGTGCTTCATCCACTACGTGAATGTAGCAAAAGCAGTAGCAAATCACTTGTTTGTAAAAGGGGTACCATAGTTTTTTAATTGTGATATTATTAGAGAATCTTCTGGAATGAAGAGAGTATAGTTTTAAAATATCTTCTGAATCGAACTATTGTCTCCTAGACAGTTTCTCTCAAGGCAGTGACAATGTTGGTTACATCTTCCAAGAATATATTTGAAAGGAAAAGATTTCTTTTGTTCTTAGATGGCAGTTTTTGTGGTTGTGTTTCTCAGTTATCATGGTGGTTAATACAAAGCTCTTGATCTCATCAGCATTTTGAGCTCCTGGTTTTACAGCCAGGTGCTTGCTGTCATGAGTTAGGCTTTTCCTAATTAGGTTTTCATATATTCTGCAAAATATTAACGGATTTGTTCTCCCTGCACACTCTTCATTCATTGCTACAGAACAGCAGAAAACAATTTAGCTCTCTGGCAGTGTATTTATTACACCACCATATGGTCTCTGTTTACTTATGCTGTACAATTTAGTGATTGTACTGCAAATCATGACCAAGTTCCTGAATAGCTGGGGCCTAAAAACAAGCTCTTAAATTCATATTTAGGTTCCTAAATAGAAGGTCTCATTTTCAAGTATTGAGTCCATCCTGACTCTTGCTGAGGTTTTTGAAGCAAGCAGACTATCATCTTTTTGAAAATCGCACCTGCTATGTTTTAACATGCTTCTATGGGGAATCTAAATTATGGTTTAGACTCCTCTTAATATTGGTGTATTCTTCACATTGTATTCTTCACATTGCAGTAACTCCTAATGCTTATTCATGCTGACAAGCTATCAGTTTGGATTGATTAAAATGTCCAGTAGAGAGGTTGCCAGCAAGTTTGCAATTTCAAGTCTTTGCTGAAGGATGAAGAGATGCACAGAGTAAGAATATTTCTGTTGAGTCACTGGGCTTTTTTCATGAAAGGGTAGGATATAAATACCATCTTTCATATAACATATGCTTAACTGCCTGTAGCTAACAATAAACCTGAGGGAAGTAGGGTTCATCAGAAAGGCTGATTTTGCTCTCAGCATTATTTGAAGCTTCTTCAGTGTCTCTTAGTGAGGGGTTTTTTTGAGGTTTTTCAAGGTTTTTCTCCAACGTGTGAGTGCAATAAGGCTTTTTTTTCATTTCTCTATATTAAAATGTCAAGGAAAGTCTGATTCATTATTTCAGGAGCTGAGTTAAATTCCTTCCTCTGGACCATTTTAAAATAAATTGTTTAAGCCTCAAATACATGTGCTGGCTGAAGCAGCAGATGTGTGAAAGGGTGGGTGTTGCTTTGCTTTATGCCACTCATCCTTGAGAAGAGGATGCTGTCCTTAATCTGTGGGCTCAGAAGCACAGCAGAAGGACTTTTTGACCTAGAATGAAACAGTGGCAATATTCTGTGAAAGTACATCATGCGCATGGATGCTTCTGAAATATATTGCTGGGAATAATTTAGGCTTTCTTTTCAAAAGAAAGTCATACCTTGCCTTTCAGAGAAAAAAAGATCTTATGTGATGAGGGGAAAGGGAAGGAATTATTCCTCATAATGTTTAAAAGTAGATAAATTCAGATGGCCCTGGAATGGGAGGATTTAATAGATAATCAGCAGAGTGAGCTGGCACAATTGCAAAGGTGACTTTGAAAGAATTTCTTGTTTTCGTTTCATGTCTTTCATTTTTTTCAGTTCACATGCCTTGATGGATCAAAATTTGAGGTATTTTCAGTATGTAATATGCATTTTTTTCTCACATAGGGGCTGCTCTTGAGAAAACAATTTTGTTTTGCAAACTTATTTGTGTGAGTCTGACTGCATGTTTCCATTCCCCTTGCAGAGGCACAGCGATAGCTGGAATTGTTTTTGGCATAGTATTTATAATGGGAGTGATTGCTGGGATTGCCATCTGTATCTGCATGTGCAGGAAGAGCAACCGTGGTACTCGAGTAGGGGTCATCAGAACCACCATCAACACCATCAACACATACCCAGGTGAGGAAGCAGAGGGACAGCCCTGCCGGAGTGCCTGGGGTCATGCAGGAGTGTTATCCTTGGGTAGTAACAGCTCCACACTGTCATGATCCAATTATTAAAATTCTTAGAACTGCCTCTGCCCGAATTAAAATGCAAACGAGACCATATGCCAGTGAGAATAATATGGGGTTTGTTTGATATGAGGGAGAAGAAAGAAAGAAAGAAAGAAAGAAAGAAAGAAAGAAAGAAAGAAAGAAAGAAAGAAAGAAAGAAAGAAAGAAAGAAAGAA